CAAGCACAAAAGCAGAATCCCAAGAACTAATCCGATCCCTTTATCAACAACGTATTTAAAGGAAGATTATCTCTTCTACAAAGACTCACTGTCCTTCAGTAAGTCTGTTTTCTGCTGGGTGTTTCTACAAAACTGCTGTTGATAGCTGAACAAGCTATTCCCAGAGGTACTGTTGCACTTCCTAAGCAGCATAAAGCATTCATGTTTCCAAGTCATGTGCAGAGTCAGGAATAAACAAAGACACACTCAAGTGCTCATTTTCTTGTCTGATCAGAAATACCTGATGATTGGTGAAATGCAGCGAAACAAACTGTTTTCAATTGCATTTCATCCTGCCTATGCAAGTTACTAGACGGAACTGGAATTGTAAGCGTTTCACAAGAGGGGAGGGGAAAAGAAGTCTCAGATACACAGAACTTGTATGTACACATACAAACCCCTGTTTTCAGTAGATTTCAGTTCAATCCACTGAATTAAGAAGGTCAGATAAGCACCTGAAATTTCTTATATGTATCTGACTGAGGTCTCCAAACCCCTGCCATCTATCACTAATTCTGTCATCAATTTGATTCAAATAAAGCAGTGACTGATTTTGGTCTACTGTTTTTTAGAAGCTTATCAAAATTATTTCTTGATTGCAAAACAGGTATACCTCATAGCTGGTAAACATTTCAGAGTGTTGATTTACTAGTCTATTGGTATCTGAAAACATGGCATGATGGCTTTTCTCCCATACTTTCAGAGAGCATCTATTATTAATTAATTACTACACTCCTTTCTAAGTGAGAAAGAGATCAAGCAGTTAGTTGAGCTGGCTATGCTTAAATCTACTAAATCAAGCACAAGCATTACAGCTGGTCCACTCCTGCAATACAGAAATAGCTTTGGGCAAATTAATTATCTTCTGACAAATATACCCCTTTCAGCTTTTATCCATAGGTTTTTTCAGTTATTCTCTTAGAGGGTATAAAACCCAGTTTCATCTGAACTACTAAATCCCTTCACTGTCCTCTTTTGCACATTCTATATAATAATAAGACTTAGTGTTACAGAAAAGGGAAAAGGAAAGGGAAAACAGAGGAGGAGAGGAGAGGAGAGGAGAGGAGAGGAGAGGAGAGGAGAGGAGAGGAGAGGAGAGGAGAGGAGAGGAGAGGAGAGGAGAGGAGAGGAGAGGAGAGGAGAGGAGAGGAGAGGAGAGGAGAGGAGAGGAGAGGAGAGGAGAGGAGAGGAGAGGAGAGGAGAGGAGAGGAGAGGAGAGGAGAGGAGAGGAGAGGAGAGGAGAGGAGAGGAGAGGAGAGGAGAGGAGAGGAGAGGAGAGGAGAGGAGAGGAGAGGAGAGGAGAGGAGAGGAGAGGAGAGGAGAGGAGAGGAGAGGAGAGGAGAGGAGAGGAGAGGAGAGGAGAGGAGAGGAGAGGAGAGGAGAGGAGAGGAGAGGAGAGGAGAGGAGAGGAGAGGAGAGGAGAGGAGAGGAGAGGAGAGGAGAGGAGAGGAGAGGAGAGGAGAGGAGAGGAGAGGAGAGGAGAGGAGAGGAGAGGAGAGGAGAGGAGAGGAGAGGAGAGGAGAGGAGAGGAGAGGAGAGGAGAGGAGAGGAGAGGAGAGGAGAGGAGAGGAGAGGAGAGGAGAGGAGAGGAGAGGAGAGGAGAGGAGAGGAGAGGAGAGGAGAGGAGAGGAGAGGAGAGGAGAGGAGAGGAGAGGAGAGGAGAGGAGAGGAGAGGAGAGGAGAGGAGAGGAGAGGAGAGGAGAGGAGAGGAGAGGAGAGGAGAGGAGAGGAGAGGAGAGGAGAGGAGAGGAGAGGAGAGGAGAGGAGAGGAGAGGAGAGGAGAGGAGAGGAGAGGAGAGGAGAGGAGAGGAGAGGAGAGGAGAGGAGAGGAGAGGAGAGGAGAGGAGAGGAGAGGAGAGGAGAGGAGAGGAGAGGAGAGGAGAGGAGAGGAGAGGAGAGGAGAGGAGAGGAGAGGAGAGGAGAGGAGAGGAGAGGAGAGGAGAGGAGAGGAGAGGAGAGGAGAGGAGAGGAGAGGAGAGGAGAGGAGAGGAGAGGAGAGGAGAGGAGAGGAGAGGAGAGGAGAGGAGAGGAGAGGAGAGGAGAGGAGAGGAGAGGAGAGGAGAGGAGAGGAGAGG